AGAGTCAAATGCCGCCTTAAGGTCCAGGAAAACAACTATTGTAGGACGCCTAAATGTGTGTCTGTGTTCCAGGACCTGTCGTAGTGTGAAAATGTGGTCTATACAACCACGTCCAGGTCGAAAACCAGCCTGGTTTTCTCGAGTCTGCTCTTCACGAGCTTTCGTTAAGCGTCGAAGTATTATTGAGGCCAATATTTTAGATACTATATTAGTTAGACTTATTCCCCTGTGATTGTCACAAGAAGACTTCTGTCCTTTCTTATAGATTGGGACAATCAGTGATTGAGACCAGTCGGATGGGATTACGTCCAGTTCCCAGATTCTACCAAGATAAGTGAAGCGGTCTACACGTTCGACTACTTCACTCCCTATCACTAGTTCAGGTGCCGTTGCAACCCAATCTTGAAGCAACATTTTGCATTTCGAGGGGGAAAACCGCATCCCGAACATGCTTGCATTGTTGCTTAGGGTAGTCAGAAGACTCTGCATTTTGTCAGCGTCTTCACCAAGTAGGACAATGTCATCGGCATATTCTAAGTCAATAAGCGAGCCACCTGGTAGAAGGTCTACTCCAGAAAATTCAGACGAGGATAAGGTTATTTCTAGGAGCATGTCTATGATAAAATTAAACAAGAATGGAGAGAGTGGACATCCCTGACGGACACCACTTGATGTAGAGAATTCCGGTGACAGTTCGCCATAAGCTCTCACTCGACCAGTGGTGTTTGAGTAGAGAGCTTGTATGAGGTTAATGTACTTATTTGGTACACCTTTCAATGACAGACACTGCCACAGAACCTCACGATCCACTGAGTCAAATGCCGCCTTAAGGTCCAGGAAAACAACTATTGTAGGACGCCTATATGTGTGTCTGTGTTCCAGGACCTGTCGTAGTGTGAAAATGTGGTCTATACAGCCACGTCCAGGTCGAAAACCAGCCTGGTTTTCTCGAGTCTGCTCTTCACGAGCTTTCGTTAAGCGTCGAAGTATTATTGAGGCCAATATTTTAGATACTATATTAGTTAGACTTATTCCCCTGTGATTGTCACAAGAAGACTTCTGTCCTTTCTTATAGATTGGGACAATCAGTGATTGAGACCAGTCGGATGGGATTACGTCCAGTTCCCAGATTCTACCTAAGATCTCAGTCAACCTAGCTGCTAAAACTGGACCACCATCCTTAAAAATCTCAGGGGTCAGTCTATCAGGACCTGCAGCTCGTCCTCGCTTCAGATTTCCTAAAGCTTTTTCAACTTCATTAAGACTAGGGGGACTTACGTCGATTTGCCATTCAGGATGACTGGAGATCGTGGGTAACCGAAGAGTGGCTCGAGGCCAGTTGAACTGATCCCTAAAGTGTTCTGTCCATCGATCCAGTCTCCTGGATTGAGAATGAATACTAGTCCCGTCATTTTCTGAGATAGTCTCGCTTACACTAGGATTCCTAATACCAGTTTCCTTGATAAGTCGGAAAAGTTGTCTACTGTTGCCGATCGCCGCTGCCTTTTCCATCGCTTTTGCTTTCGCCACCCACCACTGTTCGCGATCGTTACGTAGGCTTTTTATAAGTCTGCGCCTAACTTGACTTCGTTCTTCATCATGTTCAGAGCCAGGTGGGATGAGTTTTCGGGCATCCATCAGATCGGTGGATGCGACTGAAATCCACGGTTTCATTCTAGCCTTATGGTCAACCTTACTAGCAGATATCACTGCTGTTTCCACAGCCTTTTTGATATCATTCCATCCTGCTTCCGGATGGGAATCGCTTAAATGGTCGCCTAACTGCCTTTCTAGTTGTTCCTGAAATATATTTTTCGCCTTATTATCATTAAGTAAAACCCTAAGAGGCTTTCTTACGGTGTCTATCCTACGCCCAGTAAGCTTCAAACAAATACGCGCTCGCACTAGGGCATGATCTGAATCCAAACATGTGCTCCAGAACGAGCGACAGTCCTCTATCGAACCCCTCCATCGGTGGCTGATGGCAATGTGATCTAGTTGAGTCCAACGTTGAGACGACTTTGGAGGTCGCCAGGTCAACAGATGCTTTTCCTTATGCCTAAAGTTAGTGTTTGCTAAGATTAGGCGGTTGTCTGAGCATATTTGCAACAGACGGTCACCATTGTCTGTTCTCTGAGCCGGGACACCATAACATCCACCTAGGTGTCTCTCCTGCTCACTTAGTCTACCTACTTGAGCATTAAAGTCACCAGCCATTATTACTATATCAGAGCGCCTAGCTTTTTGGAGGAGGTCCGAAAGCTTTCTGTAAAACTCATCTTTAACCTCGTCTGAACTGCATTCAGTGGGGGCATAGGCAGATACGACGAAGAGGCAACGGCGATTGTCCCTATCTTTCCGAGTCCTTACTGTCCCGTTTAGTCGGACAGCGCACAATCGACTATCTACAGGGATCCAGTCAAGGAGAGATTGTTCTGCCCTACAACTCAATGCTATGCCTACGCCAGCAAGACCCCGGGAAGCAGCATCAGGGCTACCGGATACACGAAGAGTAAATCGAGCTGCTTCTTTATTTTGACATGGTGTGGTCAAGTGAATGACGTGACTCGGATCCTGTATGCGCGTTTCCGAGACGCAGCATACATCGATGGAACGAGATTCTAAAGTCCTAGCTAACGAAGCCTGTTGCCCTATTTGACACAATGTCCGTACATTAAATGCTCCAACATGTAGTCTAGAGCGAGGTTTAAGGAGACCAGGAACGACGTTTCGCGAACTCGTATCGTCTGCATTAGCTGTGCACTGTGATGAATGAATGTGAGAAGAGTTAGTCATGGAGATAAGAGAGGTACTAGGGGGTGTAGGAAGGATTTGATTTTGACCAATTCGGCCTCGCGTGCTGTTATGGGTATGAGGGCGGTTGTCACTTCCCGGCTGCCCACACCGTGGAAGGTTGTTTCTTGAGGAACCTGAAAAGGAAGATAGATTAGTGTTGGTGCGTGACCGCAGAGCCCAACGGACAACTGCTTGAGGCCGGTCACGCATGGCCTTTTTATCAGATGTTTTTTGAGGATTAGCTCCGTTCTTAAAGGCCCTTAGTGGGCACCCTTACCCAAGGAGACGGAAATCCGTGAGTTAGGGGAGGTGTGACATTTTTAGGGCCGACCTTTTCTAACCCTTCCTTCCTTGTGAGAAGGCAGCATCGCTGCAGATGCTGGTTGTCCGAGGGAAACACCTTACTGCTGTCACACCCCTCTGCAGTCAGCAGTACGACTTCGCCCTCAGACCTTGGGTAGCTGCTTTTAGTCTCATCGTTCTCCAATCGACCTGCCTGGCATGGTAGAACCTTGAGGAACATATGTTCCAGCCAGTATAGCTCGGTTGGGTCATCACGATAGGCAAGCCCGACCACCACGTCAAGGTAGCAGCTACGGTCGGGTGGAAGAAAGTTAGGGGCGGCCAAACCAAAATATGGCACAAATCCATGAAGTCACTGACAAGTGGGCTGAGTCATGTTGGTAGATGCAGACTACCTGGTTGGGGTCCGCGAGACGAAAGTCACCGATGGTTAGAGACCTTGAATGACATGTCTCAAAATCGTTTGCAATAGCGCAAGTGCATCCATTCGTTGTTTTACTCTCTCAAATACTAATCTTCTGGATTCGTCAACACCTCTACCATTGTCTTTCTAACATTATATCACTGAATTATACTTCTTGAATAATATCTTCGAAACCCTAGTCTTCTTCACTACCAATAATACGTCTACTATTTTTATCACTATGGGATTTGATTTGACATTTGCGTCTCTGTGCTAATGTAGTGTGGCAACCTGAACTTCGTATATGTACATACGTGTACATGTACGAAGTTCTTTCTACATTGCAACTGAACTGAGAATAAAGAAAAATTAAAAAAACTAACACATCACACATTAAGTCTATAGTAGTTAGTATAGTAATTAGTACCTTCGATTCGCCTATTTTACTTTTTAATGTATCAATTTCAACTTCACTAAAAATATTTTTCCATGGTGGTGGTGGCGATGAGGATGCTGAATTGTCACTTGATATAGTCTGATTTTGTTCTTGTTGTTGCTGTTGGTGTTGCGCTTGTTCAAATGGCATACTTTCTAATGTTCGTGAAAATAACTTGGATAATTCAATCATTTCATTTAATGTTTTCTGAGCTAATGCAATGGTTTTATCAAATGACACAAAAGCTTTAGCACGTTGTTTAACTTCAGTAAAACGTTTTTCAATAGGATTGATTATCGACTGGATTTCTTGAATTCTAATATCATAATCCTAGAAAGAAAACAAAATAATTGGAAAATTATACTGTCTGTTATGTGTGGATAAGGTTAAGAAAAAAAATTTTCAAACAATTTAAACCATACAATCAAGCACTATATATTGGTTAGGGTTAATGTACCACCACTTGTTTCGATAACCAAATAAAACGATACCGAAAAATTTGAAACATGACTATTTGGGTAGGGTAGATAAATGGGATCGACTATTCATTCATTATTTAGCCAGTTGCAAATTAAATACACGTAACAATCAATAACTAAGTGATATCCCGCTCACTGTAATAGATAAGTTCTCTGAAGTCGATTTTGTATAGGGTTGTAGAGAGTTGTAGTATTGAAGACACTTAAGCAGAATGAAATAACTGTTTACAATTTGTTATGTTCGTCACTTGGTACACTTGAAGCTATTACGAGTTCACCTTAGTCGATAAAACGCGAACGTGAACCAGCGTCCAAGTAGGCTACCTTGAATACCAAACTGCAAAACAGAAGACTTGGTAGGCGTAGAATGTATATTCTACAAACACTCAGCAATCACAATGCACAATCAAGCACACAACTCTCGTTTATTATTTATACATCATAGAAACATCGTTTGGACAGTTACGAAAATAGCACACTAAAATACACAGCAGCCAATCACAACCATGGATTTTCCTGGTGGGAAATGCAATCTCAAGATCAACTGATCAACCCATGCTCGCAAATGTGAAATCCAAAATCAAGACATTTATCAGGCGAGTTCTGAGGGATCTAACATCCCCAACACAATTGATGTCAGTTAACGGTGTTAGTGATTACCAAGTGCTTATTTCTGAAAATAATTGAGATACATGTTCTCAATGGATTCAAATAGCAATAAATTGTTTTGGCACAAAGCTCAGATGCAAGTACAGGTTGAACACACCACAGTTGTCCATTGGAACAATAAATTTATCAAGTTAACACAACTACAAAAAAAATCATGAATGTTTATGCTTCTATATAAGTAAGTAAGTAAGTATATTGTGAAATTATTAGTTATAATTATGTGCATACTCCTCTCTAAAGAATATTTCGCTTATGAGATAGAGAGAATTCATTGTATTAGAAATTCCATTAAGTTGAAAATTAATTTTCTAAACAGTTTTATAGAGAGATTGTTTTTTGATCGAAATGACTGATTGCATTCTAAATAATTTCCAACGTTTTATTCAGCTATCTTGTCTAGACACTCTTTTCTTCTCTCAATAATAATCAAAATTATCAAAGAATATCTTTATTTAGATAAAGAGTAATATTTAGATGTTGACTTCAATACGTAAGATAATATGAGTTAATAAGGTGTGAATGGTGTGAAAATGAACGCGCGCGCGCGTATATTTATATATATGTGTGCATTTGCAAGTTCATTTGCATCTCTGTACTAATGCGGTACATACGTATGAAGTTCTCTGTTGTAGGTCTGTCTGAATTTTAAGTTATTAATAGTTAATACATAGTGAATAATTGCAATCATCGTTTACTACTGATATAACTCATGTGATGGATTACCTTTGTTATATCCATTGTATTACATATTGCAACTAAATGGTGACCGAATTTATCTTACCACAGAATTAGAAACTCGAACTATACATCACATAACATTAAATTAGACACATAATTCACAATTAAAATAAAGAACAAGAGTAAGCAGAAAAAAATAGTATCTCATTCCACACAACTACATGCTGTCGTCACACACAATCCGTTCCACGGTATGGGCAGCTGGGAAGTAACATCCGCCTTCATACCCATAAAAGCATACGAGACCAAATCGGTCACAATCAAATCCTTTCTACACGTCATCACACAAAATGAGTTCGGAGTAGAAATCAATGAAATCATGTATTGAATAGTCAGAACGCCGAGTCCATTTCATCATTCGTGCTCGGTGACCTATCAAACTAACAAACACATGTTATTCATCTATATTCATCAAAAGTGAGTTAACATATTTTTAGGACTGATGAAAACACCTCTTAAGGCTTTTTTTTAAAATATAGTTTTGTATTCTAAAATATGAAACCGCCTAATAATTTGCTTAAGTCACGCTTTTTATAGTTTATCAAGCTGGAAATTTCTTAACATGGTCTTATTATTACTCAACAGTATAAATCTACAACTTTGGCTAATAATTTAACACAAACAATTTATTTTATCATTTTTTTAATTTGACAAATTTAAAATTAGCAGGATTATGTCATAATAACAATAATAATAATAATTTGCATTACGAGGTTCTGAAGATTGTCAACTTTTTTTTGAAACCATGAATCGATCAACGTTAGACCACCATTAGAAACCTGGAAGCACTGGATGGCCGTTGCGTCCTGGTGTGGGACTACTCATCAGCAGTGCGCATCCACGGCTCCGTGAATTGATCAAGTTAGACATTACCACTATTGGATGCTGACCCAGTGGTCCAGAGGTTAGGCGTTTGTGGGCAAGACCAAAGTTCCTGGGTTCGAATCCTGCGGGGTGCAGGAGTCGTGGATGCACACTGCTGAGGAGTCGCATACCAGGACGAAACGGCCGTCCAGTGCTTCCAGGTTTCTAATGGTGGTCTAACATTGGTCGATTTATGGTTTCAAAATAATAATAATAATAATAATTGTTGAATAACTCAACTTCAATGTCGATTCTTCTATAATCTATCGAGATATGTATGTCACAAAAACAATCAATCAATCAATCAATCAATGATTATAAACATACATTTTTTAAACCATCATGACCTTGTTCATCGAACCAATCCGAAGCAGATTGTAATACAATGTTTAATTGTTTCAATTCATTTTCATTACCATATTTTTGATAATCCATTGTAATTTTATCTTGAGTATTAATTAATAAAGTTTCAAATAGATTAATCGATTGTTCTAAAGCAGCTTTCGCTTGATCAGCTTCACGTAATTTCTCTAATCTTTTAATAGGAAATAGAAAGATTTCACGAGAAAGCAAAAAAAACATACGAATTTCCTAAATAGGTAATTGAAGAAAATGATTACTTTTAAAAAGAAGAGCTGTTAAACATACCACATGTATTAATGTGTGAAATATTATTTAAGCTTTAAACGACCTATGGAATGCCTCTACTGTAATAACAACGCATACGCTTCGATGGAAGACAGTAAGAAAATTCTGTTCTTTCTTCAAATACACCCATAATACGAGAGTGTTGTAATAATCTTTTAAAATGTCTTCTTGTAGCAGATATATGTACACAATTAAATTGAAGTGAGATGTAAAAATGCTTAAAATTCATTAGTGGATTATCTCTGTCTGTCGTCAAAGGTGTTTGAAAAAAACCATGAATACTACTAGAATGTATCTAATACAGCTGCTTCGTTCACACATAAGTTGGTGTTGGATCAGAGACAGACAGACAGACAGATACAACTCAGAACTTCGTACATAAGTACATCAGTTCAGGTTGCCATACCACGTCAGCACAGACTCAAATGTCAGTTCAAATCCAAGAGTAATAGTGATAGTAGAAGTATTAGCAGTTATGGAGAAGATTAGGGAGCAAAGATATGATTTGAAAAGTATAATTCAGTGAGATAAATTTAGAAAGGGAAAGACAGAGGTGATGAGAAATTCAGAAGTCACTTGTCAATGACTTCATGCATTTGTGCCACATTTTGGTCTGGCCACCCCAAGCTTTCTTCCAACCTACTCCTACACCACAAAACATAGCTCGTCGAGGCAGTCGGTGATTAGCCATACGTAACACATGTCCCAACCACCTCAACTGATGAAGTTTCATTACTTCATCTATTGACCTGTCATCCTTACTTAGTACTCGTTTCCTAACGACAGCATTGCTTACTCAGTTGTCCCACGATATACGAGCAATGCTTCGGAGAAACGATTGTCGAATATCTTCTGCTCTTACCGGCCATGTTTCAGATCCATATAAGAGAATGGAGCGAACTGCTGCATGGTACACTTGTCCTTTGGTTAGCAAGCGGATATCTCGCCTACGCCATAAGTGACGCAGGTTGGCAAAAGCCAATCGAGCCTTCTGTATCCATGCTGAGATTTCGTCAGTCACCAGGCTATCAGCACTAATGAGACTCCCCAGATAAGTGAAGCGATCAACACCGTCGACTACTTCACTCCCTATCACTAGTTCAGGTGCCTATGCAACCCATTCTTGAAGTAACATGTTGCATTTCGAGGGTGAGAACCGCATCCCGAACAGACTTGCATTGTTGCTTAGGGTGGTCAGAAGACTCTGCATTTTGTTAGCGTCTTCATCAAATAGAACTATGTCATCGGCATATTCTAAGTCAGCAAGCGGTGTTTTCTCATGCTTATTATGGAAGACGGTAAATCAATGGTATCATCTAAAGTACGAAAGCTAAATGACTAATCCATAAAAAGCTAGAGTTATACTTGACAAAAAATATTCTTACTTGGATTGTGACGCAGTCATTCCTTCAGACGTCAAATCAGGAAAATCTAAATAAGCAATTTCATATTCGATTGGTTCAAAAAATGGTTCTGTAGACTTTGAAAAAGGCAAAACAATAAAACAAACAAACAATAAATCGTTAACATAGTTTTTTTACCATCAAAACTCTACAATATAACATGATAGCAAACAACATGGAGAGAGAAATATACACATTGAGTAAGCACAAAAGACAAATGAGACTAAAATCGACACATATGTAGTAGTAGCAGTAGTAGTATGCATGCACAGGTAACTCGATGCAAATACAAATGCAAAATTGATGACAGTGTGAAAAGAGCAAAACTATGATCGAAAATCTTTGAAACAGACAATATATAGATATAATCTGGTTTAATGCAAGCAAACTAGGGAGCAAAACTAGGCTAGGGATGCAAAGAAACTAACTACCTTTACATCTACATTTAATTGATCTTTCCCAGAAACGATGTTGTCATTAATGGGGATAGTTTGATTATCTGAAATAGTCTATAATAATAGTTAAAATAAACTCAATAGAGATATTATCGTATATATACGAATCTAATGGAAATAGAACAAGAGTGAGATAAATTCAAAAGTCGCAGAGAAAAAACTAATGAACATAAAAACCAAAAAAAAATACTTGTTTAACAAATAATCTACGAGCTGCATATCAGTGTATTTGGCTTTAAACTACACTCTAGATATACTAACCGGTCATGCAGATAGAAGTAGATGAAAAGGAGTTCGAACTTGTGACTTGGTAGCTGACAAACAGACAGACAGATACAACACAGTACTTCGTACATAAGTACATCAGTCCATGTTGCCATACCACATCAGCACAGAGACGTAACTGTCAGTCCAAATCCAAAAGTGATAGCAATAATAGAAGTATTAGCAGTAATGGAGAAGATTATAGTTGGAAGATATGATTTGAAAAGTTTAATTCAGTGAGATAAATTTAAAAGGAGAAAGGTAGAGATTATGAGGAATTCAGAAGGTTAGAATTAGAGAGAACACAAGGAGTGGATGCACCTACGCCATTGCAACCGATTCTGAGCCATGTCGTTCAAGGTAGCTGAATATTAAATCGGTTAACCACTACTGTGCCACGAATGTACTCACTGTTGCGGCGTTAGGTCATGTAGCAAACATCATCCAAAAACAATTTTTCGACCCAGACAACACTTCGAAATCATTATATAAAAAGGATAACAACTAATTTATCACTTCAAAACAAATAATTCAATTCAATTCAGATTATTAAACAAATAACAAGAGACTTACAGAGTTTTTACTACTATCCCCTGTATTGACATTAGTCAAATTAGCACCATTATTATTATCTGTTGCATTGACAGCAGAATCTTGTTTAGGCAAAGTTTTATCATCATTTTTACTATCACCTCCACCGAATAGTCCACTTAAAGTGCTACCAATTTCTATCAATGAAAACAAAAAACATATTATAGACATTTATACATAGTTTAAAAGTGTACCTACAGATATCAATACATAAAAGTAATACGGTGATGGAATAAACTGTGATAACTGAAACTCATAAGTAAACCATTTTTTCCTATCAGCTTACTTAACTGGTATTATATTTAACCCGAGAGGTTACAATGTTCTAATACTGAAACATTAAAAATAATAGCGAAAGAAATTATAGACTACTTTTGTGAAATATGATAAGATGAGATGCTTGAGGAGATAAACATTTCGGTAGAACTTATACAGAAAAGTAGTGAAATCTTGCTGAGTGCAAGGTGATTGAATAAGAAATACACCAGATGATACTAGATATAAAACTATTCCCACATTTAACCATAACCAGTACAGCCATCATCAACCAGAAGATACAAGTATTTATGAACAGTTGTCTTCGCAAAATACTTCGTATTCGTTGGACTGACACCATCAGCAACAATCTACTGTGGGAGAGAACAAACCACATTCCAGTGGAGGAGGAAATCAGGAAGAAGCGGTGGAGTTAGTGGATAGGACACACATTACGAAAAGCACACAAGACAAGCCCTCACATGGAACCCTCAAGGCAAAAGGAAAAGAGGAAGGCCAAAGAATACATTACGCCGAGAAATAGAGAAAGATATGAGAAGAATGAACAAAAACTGGAAAGAACTAGAAAGGGAAGCCCAAGACAGAGTTGGTTGGAGAAAACTGGTGGGTGGCCGGCCTATGCTCTATTGGGGGTAACAGGCGTAAGTAAGTAAAGTAAGTACAGTTACAGTTGTATTTTTTTAAGGATTGCTTTACTAACTTACTTTCAAAAGTAGATTTCACTTTTTTTGAATCATCCGATACTACTCCATTTGTTTCAATAGGTTGAAATATACAACTAACACCACTAAGAACAAGAATTCCATTATGATCCATGATGAAATGTGCTTTGACACCACGAGGCTCAGCAAATGAATAATGTTTGGATGCTTTGGATACATTTTTTGTAATAATATGACTAAGATTTGATCCTTGAAAACTAAAAATTACACAAATAATTCAAAATATAATATTAAAGTATCGGTAATAATGACAACAAATATTATGAGAGTGATATAATATTTTCAATATATAGATAAACTTAATTCAATTCAGTATACTTGATACAGTGTTTAGGACAGATGGATGCATAGGATGGAAAAGAAAAAGAGGATTCACACCAAAAGCTACAAAAAAACACCAAACAAATGAATTGAACTTTTTTTTCTTACAATAAACAACAATGAAATAAAATAATTTTTAAGAAATAATTTATTAATTATGATGCAGATTATTGTCGATTGTGACTTAAAGAATGGCATGATTCTCAAATGATGAGCAAGGCAAATACTATAAACATATATTTTGGCAACATGATATCGAACAGTTAAAAAAAACTACAAAAACATACTCACCATACTGATTAACGATTCATAAAAATAATCCTAATTAATTAGTTAGTCAGTCAGTCACATGCAACGTAGAACTTCGTACGTAAGTACATCAGTTCATGTTGCCATACCACATCAGCACAGAGATATAATTGTCAACTCAAATCCAATAGTAGTAGAGGTAGTAAAGGTATTAGAAGTAATCGGAGAGGTTAGGATTAGAAGATATTATTCAAGAAGTATGATTTAATGAGAAAAGTTTAGACAGACAAAACTAGTGTTGAGAAATCCAGAAGATTAGGATTTGAGAGAACACAAAGAATAAATGCGCCGGTGCCATTGCAAACGGTTTTGAGCCATGTCATTCAGGGTCTCTTAACCATCGATTATTATCATCTCGCGGACCCCAACCAAGTAGTCGACAATTACCGACATGACTCAGTCGACTTGTCAATAACTTCATGGATTTCTGCCATGTTTTGGTCTGGCCGCCCCTTACTTTCTTCCAACCTATTCCTACACTATAAAACAAAGCTCGTCGAGGCAGTCGGTGGTTAGGCATACGCAGCACATGTCCCGTAACCACACACGAGACCAAATTAGTCAAAATCAAATCCTTCCTACACCCACACATACCTCTCTTCTCTCCACAACTAACTTTACAATTAATTAGTTCCTATACATTTAAAGATCTAACTGATATTCCATAAAACAGATAACTTTTATCAGTTCTGATTAGACTATTGTGATTTAAGACGGACAGATACAATGCAGAACTTCGTACATACGTACGTAGGTACGTATGTACAACAGTTCAGGTTGTTATACCGCACATCAGTAAAGAGATGCAACCGTCAGTTCAAATTCATGATTTGATTTGGCCGCGCCTAGCTTTCCTATTATGATTTAAAATAATAAGGAACTAAAAGTGAATAGCTTTTATAATAATACAGCTTTGTTTGGTATAAAATATAAGCCATCATCAAGAAAGTAACTACACTGTTGGATAAACTTGTTTCAACTGTTAGGCTATTCATGTTTGTGCTTCAAGTACGGTCTGAAGTGCTGAACTTCGAAAAAAAATAATAATTAACTACGCGTAAGTATTTAGCGTAAATAAATATGTGAAAATTGAAATAGCTAATAGAACAATAATGTTTACCCTATAGCACCACCATCAGAATCGACATAATTCACATAGAAATTCATATCAGTAATGTGTCGATTAAATTTAATTGCACGTTTTTGTGGGAAAATAGCTCCACGAGGAAAGAGAACTTGTCGAACATAAGATCCATTTTGTTGGTCATCAGCTTTTGAATCGCTGTCTGGCTTATCACCTGGTAATGGTGGAGCACGCATAAAATCAACCTGTAACATGAAATCAAGATAAATATGAAGAAGAAAAAAAAGGGAATTACACAAAAACAACTCAGGAGTGAAACCGCTAAATTAGGCAGAAAATGAGAAACTTATTTAAAGTAATGAAATGAAAACGAACTAGGGAAAAAAACAAAGCCCCTTCAGGGCTACTACCGGTCCCAAGCCCGGATAAAGGAGGAGGGTTTGGCATGGGGTTGGCGACCCCATCCCACCAAAAAAACTAACTTGCCAAAAAACGCTAACCAGAACAAATAATTCAGACCATTTTCACTAAGCCCTGGCAGTTGGAAGAAGAATTATGACGTAGCGTGATGAAAGCCGAGTTCCCTCGGAAGTCACGAGGCTGATGCTCCTTCTGACAACCAGAGCAACCATTTTTTAGGTACATGGAACGTTCGTACATTGTGGGAGACTGGAAGACTATTTCAAGTTGCGGCAGAAATGAAAAGATACAACCTCGAGGTGCTCGGCATCAGTGAAACACATTGGATACATGTAGGACAACTGAGACTAGCTTCAGGGGAACTGCTGTTATACTCTGGTCATGAAGAGGAAAATGCTTCACATACACAAGGAGTTGCACTGATAAGTACGGTATTCAGTGGACAGCTAGGACGCAGCTGGACGATCTGGACTTCGCAGATGACCTGGCTCTTCTATCGCACACGCAACAAAAAATGCAAGAGAAGACGACCAGTGTAGCGGCAGCCCTAGCAGCAGCAGGTCTCAACATACATAAAGGGAAAAGCAAGGTTCTCCGATGCAATACAACATGCACCAACCAAATCACTCTTGATGGAGATGCCTTGGAGGACGTTAACACCTTCACATATCTGGGCAGCATCATCGACAATCAAGGTGGATCCGATGCAGATGTGAGGGCGCGGATTGACAAAGCAAGGGCTGCATTTCTACAGTTGAAAAATATCTGCAACTCCAAACAACTCTCAACCAAAACCAAAATCAGGATTTTTAATACAAATGTCATGACAGTTCTACTGTATGGAGCGGAAACTTGGAGAACTACCAAAGCCATCATCCACAAGATACAAGTATTTATGAACAGTTGTCTTCGCAAAATACTTCGGATTCGCTGGACTGACACCATGAGCAACAACGAACTGTGGGAGAGAACAAACCAGATTCCAGTGGAGTAGGAAATCAGGAAGAAGCGGTGGAAGTGGATAGGTCACACATTGCGGAAAGCACCTAACTGCGTCACGAGACAAGCCCTCACATGGAACCCTCAAAGTCAAAAGAGGAAGGCCAAGGAACACATTACGCCGAGAAAAAGAGAAAGGTATGATAGGAATGAACAAACATTGGACAGAACTGAAAAGGGTAGTCCAGGACAGAGTTTGTTGAAGAAAACTGGTGGGCGGCCGGCTTATGCTCCATTGGGGGTAACAGGCGAAAGCAAGCAAGCATAAGAACAATAACTGTGACACCATATCAGATGTTTGATTTTTCATGTTTGTACGTTTTAAATTATAGATTAACAATGTTTCCAGATGATTAGCAATTTGAACATGAGTGCACTTTCGCATAATTCCACTGGGTTGAGATGACCCATTAGCAAACTATTTACTTATATGGGTTGTGATTAACAGTTTAGAATTCTCACAAACAGATGATAAGTTAGATTCTTAGTTTTAACAAACCTTAACAATAATGGGAGCTAATGTGTGCAATATAAGCATCGATAAAACTAACAGTATATCTGAAACTTACAGCAATTGGATAAAAATTATAATCCTTTAAAATGAAACGAGTAACACGAAATCCAGGAGTATGAAATGCAGCTTGATACACAGCACCCAATGCAGCAGCATCATCACTATTAACACCTCTGTGTAATTCTGACCTACGCAAAAAAAAATAGGACAATAATAACATAAATTAAGTTGAGTTCATATCATATAAAATGACAGCAGTATAATTTTCACAGAATATATATTATCAAATAGTGTATTATAGATGAATTAAGCTTTGTGGTCATTTTTCACTACCGGTTGATATTATCCAGTGAATTGAAAACTAAACAGCAGTGAACAGTTTTGTTGTCATGATTTAAGACTGAGATTATCAAACCACCCACGATTGGAAAAATCAAATATTAGACTTGTAGTGCCTCCACATAAACTTGAGTTCGCTCATATTTAATTTGATTACGCCTTTCGATTAACTTATGTAACCACGCTATTTGTATAGCAACAACTCATACAAACCAGATAATAAAAAATACCAATGGTACATATGAGTTGTTGCTATACGAATAGCTTGGTTACATAAGTTAATCGAAAGGCGTAATCAAATTAAATATGAGCGAACTCAAGTTTATGTGGAGGCACTACAGACTTACATTTGGATTAACAGTAATCTTGCATCCCCCCAAGATTTGACAACCCTGTATTTGTTTCCCCAGTTTTGAAATCCTGAACCATAATGAAATAGAGCTGTTCATGGTTCATTAATTACAAACGATTCTTCCGAATGATTTCAGTCTAATTATGAGAACTAACTTTACATCAAACGTTAGTTGGTGTTTCATTAAGTTAACCAAATATTGATTGGATTTATAATGTTAATCGTATACTTGGAACAGTTAATATTTTCAATATGTAAGTACACCTACCAATCAATAACATGGAAACTAAAACCTAAAAAAAATCGAATATTTTGAATAGATATAAAAATTCATTTTAAGCTATTATGGTTGGGTATTCCCTAATATGGACTTTGCGTAGTATTCTGATGCTCAAATTTCATACATAATTTTTCTTTGAAGCATGTAACCAAATTTTTGTCTACAAAGTTTATTATTAGTAAAAACTTTTTTCGAGAACAAAACCACTACAAATCAATGTTGATACGAAGTTCAGGAAAATCAGTTTTCTTTTTCATTTTTTTAAAAAACGATCGTAAGATTGATTGCATCAGATAGAATGGTGAACAGCCGAATGACGCGAAGTGCTCTTGATTTAATGGAAATACTGTACATTGAGGATAATAGTAGACAGTATGTGCAAGTAAACCTTTGAGGCAGTACTAACAACAGACTATAATACTATAGAATAATAGATAATGTTATGTCATAGACATGCTCCTAGATATAACATTATCATCGTCTGAATTTTCAGGAGTAGACCTTCTACCAGGAGGACCGCTTACTGACCTAGAATATACCGATGACATATTTCTATTCGGTGAAGACGACGAGAAAATGCAGAGTCCTTTGACTACCCTGAGCAACAATGCAAGCATGTTCGGGATGCGGTTCTCACCATCGAAATTAAAATGTTTCTTCCAGATTGGGTTACATCGGCATCTGAACTAGTGATAGGGAGTGAAGCAGTCGAACGTGTAGACCGCTTCACTTATCTGGGGAGTCTCATTAGTGCTGATGTCCTGGTGACTGACGAAATCTCAGCACGGATACAGAAGGCTCGATTAGCTTTTGCCAACCTGCGTCACCTATGACGCAGGCGACATATCCGTTCGCTGACCAAAGGACAAGTGTACTTTGCAGCAGTTCGCTCCGTCTTACTTTATGGCTGTGAAACATGGTCAGTGAGAGTAGAAGATATTAGTAGGTTACTGGTTTTCGATCATAGGTTTCTTCGAAGCGTTGCTCGTGTGTCATGGGACAACCGAGTAGGCAATGCTGTCGTTGGGAAACGAGTTCTAGGAAGGGATGGCAAATCAATAGATGAAGTAGTGAAACTTCATCAGTTGAGGTGGTTGGAACATGTGTTAGGTATGGTTACCCACCGACTGCCGCGACGAGCTATGTTTTGCAGTGAAGAAGTAGATTGGAAGAAAGTTAGGGGCGGCCAAACAAAAACATGGCAGAAATCCATGAAGTCACTGACAAGTGGACTGAGTCATGTGGTAAATGTAGACTACCTGGTCGGGGTCCGCGAGATGATAGTAATCTATGGTTAGAAACCCTGAATAACATGGCTCAAAATCGTTTGCAATGGCGCAGGTGCATTCATTCTCTGTGTTCTTTCTAATTCTTCGTCATTTTATCTCTATCTTTTTAAGTCTATTTCATTAGATTCGACTTCTTGAATAATATCTTCTAATCCTAACCTCTCCGACTACTGCTAATACATCTACCACTATTGGATTTGAATTGACAATTATATCTCCGTGCTAATGTGGTATGGCAACATGAACTGATGTGCGTACGCATGAAGTTCTATGTTGCTATTGATTGATTGATGACTGAGAATCCATTATATCATCCAAAGTTTGTAACTACCAGTTATGTCCATCACTAAAGTGATTTACTTAAAACTCTCACCACTTAAACTCTGTCTAACAGTTATCTAGCCTAACATTATATTACTACCAATCAATGAAACTCCTATTCTAGCGAGTACTAGTATTATTCATTTCATTACACTTCTCATTACTATTCTTCGACCGTACATGCTACCTTGACATGGTGGTAGGGTTTCCTTATTGTGATGACTCGACCGAGCTATGTTAGCTGGAACAGTTGATCCCTTAGGTTCCACTATGGCAGGAAGATCGGTTGGAGAACGGTATAACTAGTGTGTGATAGAAGTAAGATGGACAGCAGGAACTGTAGCGATGCTGCTTTCTCACAACGGAAGAGTTAGAAAAAGTCGATCCTAGAAGATATCACACGTTACCTAAACCCACGAGTTTCTGTTTCCGGCGGTATGGTCTTTGAAAAGTAGAGCTAACACCTAAAAAAATTCCCATAAAAAAGCCGTGTAACAGGATTCACGCAGTTGTCCTTTGTGCTCTGCAATCATGCTCCTAGGTCAGCACTAGCTCAGCTTCCCTTTCAGACCCCTCAAGAAATATCCTTCGAGTGTGGGAAGCTAAGAAGTGAAAACAGCCTTTATACTCCTAACAATACAAGAGATCAATTTGTTCGCGATTAAATCCTTCTCTCACCTCTCAATAAGTCTCTCATAAGTCGTACTACTGACTGTAGTTAGGAGTGACAGCAGTAAAGTATCTCCCTCGGACAACCAGCATCTGCAGTGATGTTGCCTTCCAACAAGGAAGGAAGGGTTAGAAAACGTCAACCCTAAAAATGTCACACCTCACCTTACCTCACGGATTTCCGTCTCCAGCGGTAAGGCTTTTTAAACAAGAACGGAGCTAAAACTTCAAATACTACCCATAAAAATGCCGTGGGTGACCGGCCTGAAGCAGTTGTCCCCTGGGCTCTGAGGTCATACTCCCAGGTCTCTAAGACCAACGCTAACCTACCTTCTTTTCAGGCCCTTCAAAAAAACCCTTCTACGATGTGGGCAGCCGGGAAGTGACATCCGCCCTCATACCCGTAACAGCAAGCAAGACCAAATAGGTCACAAACAAATCCTTCCTACTCCCCTGACTAAATTGTTTGTGCCTCAGCTGAGATATATGTCTGCTAACCAACGAACAAGTCTATTGCGCAGAAGCTCACTACGTTCTACTTTACGGGCGTGAAATATGGTCGTTAAAGAGAGAATATTCACAGACCACTAGATTTCAATCATAGGTGTCTTCGAAGCATTGCTTGTGTATTCTGAGACTATCGAGTAAGCAACGCTTCGTTTAGGAATAGGTTACTAGTTGAAGATGAAAAATCCGTTGACAAGGTAGTAAATCTTCAACTGAGGTGGTTGGGACATGTGTTACCTATGCCCAATCATTGCCTACCTCGGCAGACGATGTTGTCTAGTACAGGTGGGAGCAGTCTGCAAGAAAGCTAGGGGCAGCCAAATCAAAGTATATCACCAGTTTATCATATCAATGATAACAAGATTGGAACATGTTAATGGATCTAAACTATCTAGTTGAGGTCAGCGAGACACTCGTAACCGGCGGTTAGAGACTTTCCATGACATTGCTAAAAACTGTTTGCAATGACGCAGATGCATCCACCCTTTTTCTTCCCCTAAAATCCTGAACTTCTGAGTACCTCATAGTTCTTGTTTTCTTTACTTCAATGATTTATATTTTCCTGAATGTTATGTTTGGTGCCTAGTCTTCTATAGTATCACTAATACTGTTTCTACCTCTACTACTTTGGGATGTGCCCTAGCAATTTGATTCCATTGTACAGCAACGAAAACGGACACACATACGTAGATGTGAGAATTGCCTTACTAGGTAGTTTAATCTAGAAGTGAGGAGACAACTTACTTTTGACTATGCTCGATTAAAACAGATTGAATTTTTGGAATTCGTGTACCTCCACCCATCAAAATAACTTCTTGTAACGACTCCTTTGGGAAATCAACCATAATATCGAAAAATGGTTGTCTAACTCTATCGAACAGATCGGAACAGAGAGTTTCCATTTCAGTACGGGTAACTTTAACTTTAAGATCTTCTCCATTGTACACATTTTCAACCTAATTTGTTGCAGAAAGAAAAAATTAGGAAAAATTTATTTGGTTGTGTTCATATGTTGCTTTGGATTAAATACAATAATAGGTTGCCAAAGGTTAACTCCGCCAGTAGAACCTTCGGGGCTACTGCCGGTCCCAAGCCCGGGTAAAGGAGGAGGGTTGGACATGGGGTTGGCGACCCCATTCCATCAAAAACTAACTTGCCAAAAAAACGCTAACCAGAAAAAATAATCCAAACAACTTTAACTCTGCCCTGGGAGTTGGAAGAAGAATTATGACGTCTCGTGATGAAAGCCGAGTTCCCTCGGAAGTCACGGGGCCGATGCCTCTTCTCACAACCAGAGCAACCATTTTTTAGGTACATGGAACGTTCGTACATTGTGGGAGACTGGAAGACTATTTCAAGTTGCGGCAGAAATGAAAAGATACAACCTCGAGGTGCTCGGCATCAGTGAAACACATTGGATACATGTAGGACAACTGAGACTAGCTTCAGGGGAACTGCTGTTATACTCTGGTCATGAAGAGGAAAATGCTTCACATACACAAGGAGTTGCACTGATGCTGTCCAAATATGCACAAAAGGCACTAATAGGATGGGAATCTCATGGACCCAGGATCATCAAAGCATCCTTCAAAACAAAGAAACAGGACATTACAATGAACGTCATCCAATGTTATGCAACTACCAATGACTACAATGACGACGTTAAAGATCAATTCTACGAAAGGCTGCAGTCAATCGTCAAAAAATGTTCACCAAAGGATTTGACGATTCTTATGGGAGACCTGAATGCCAAGGTTGGAATGGACAACACTGGATATGAAGACATCATGGGACGACATGGACTGGGAGAAAGGAACGAAAACGGTGAGAGATTTGCAAACCTATGTGCCTTCAACAAACTGGTCATCGGTGGCACAATATTCCCGCACAAACGCATACACAAAGCCACATGGATTTCACCGGATCACACTACTCAAAACCAGATTGATCATATCTGTATCAACAAAACGTTCAGAAGGACTATGGAGGATGTGAGAACCAGGAGAGGAGCTGATATAGCCTCAGATCACCATTTGCTAATCGCCAAAATGAAACTGAAACTAAAGAAGCACTGGACAACGGGGCAGACAACATCACACAAGTTTAATACGGCATTTCTTCAGGATACTGTAAAGCTCAACGAATTCAGGATAGCTCTCACCAATAGGTTCCAGGCCTTTCAGGATCTACACAATGGAGAGGACGCAACATTGGGGAACATTGGAAAGGGATCAAGGAGGCAATCACTTCAACATGTCACGAAGTTCTGGGTCACAAGAAGTACCATCACAAGGAATGGATCTCTGTTGATACTCTCGCAAAAATTGAAGAAAGGAGGAACAAGAAGGCAGTAATCAATGTCAGCCGAACAAGAGCGGAGAAAGTCACCGCACAAGCTGCATACACAGAAGCAAACAGGGAAGTGAAGAAGAGCATCAGAGCTGACAAACGAAAATATGTGGAAGATCTAGCAATGACGGCGGAAAAGGCTGCAAGAGAAGGAAACTTGAGACAATTGTACGAAACAACAAAGAAGCTGGCGGGAAACTATCGTAAACCAGAACGACCAGTGAAAAGTAAGGAAGGCAAAGTAATCAGCAACACTGAAGAACAGCGAAATAGGTGGGTAGAGCACTTTAAGGAACTATTGAATCGACCAGCTCCACTGAACCCACCCAACATCGAAGCAGCATCCAAAGACCTCCCAATTAATT